CCACGTGACTGATGTGGCAGACAAAAGGAAAAAATATAGGTAACACTTTACAATAAGGTTAGTAACATTAGTTAACTACATTAGTTAACATGTACAATATGTGAACAATACTTCTTCAGCATTTATTAATCTTAGTTAATATTAATTCCAACATTTACTAATACGTTATTAAAATCAAAGGTTGTATTAGTTAACATTAGTTAATGGACTGTGAAATAACATGAACGCACAATGAACAGCTGTATTTGTATCAACTAACATTAACAAAGATTAATTAACACTGTAACTAATGCATTGCTCATCGTTAGTTCATGTTAATTAATGCATTTACTAATGTTAACTAATGAACCTTATTGTAAAATAATAAGCAGTTTTGATACTAATGTTAAAAGAGCATTTTTTAAATTAAGGCAAATTTGATTTATGAAAGTGACTAGATCTGTCTTAAATTCTCATTAGTCAACAGCAAAATGACCATTGGTCATATGAACGAGCGTCAAAATTTTGCATTTGCTAAAATCAACGTTTTTTTTTTTTTTGATGCACTGTAAACTGTAGTGCATTGGAGCCCTTAGTTAACACAATATTCTTGAAGAACAGTCGTGATCTGTGAATTTGCTGGTACATTTCAGCCATCGGTGACCTGCTTTGCTCTTTCTTTCCATCTCTGGATCTGTTCTAGTCCCCCTGCAGTGTGCGAACATGTGCATGTGCCCTGTAAGCCGAGCGGTCACGTATGCTGAAATATTCCCTGGCAGGGTCTGTGATACTGGCTGGATTCGTTCCAGTTGGGGGAGAGAGTGGAGGGTTAATGATTAGTCTCATGCTCTGTGTGGATCAAGGGCATGGGACTATGCGGGCCTGGGGGAAACGAGAGAGAGCGAGAGAGAAAGAGCATAAACCAAGAACACAACAGCTGAATCACTCATCACTTCTATATTCATCCTCAGCTCGTGGTACAGACCTATATACACAGTACTGTGTACTCCTTATTGATTTCCAGGATGGCTTTTATTAAGGGTTTTCACACATGGCTTGTTTGTAGTGGAAACTGGCATGTTTTCTTGTTCGTTTAGGCATGTATGAACACAGATCTGCTCAAAATAGTTTGAGATGGGCTGAACAAGGTTACAAACTTTTAAGTGGTTCTCTTGTTGTGAGAAAGCAATCTGACCTACAAACCAAGCTGTATCATAATACATTATGGGGAATGCATTACATAAAAAGTAATAGTGTCTGATTCTGTGAGTGAGCCCATTACTTTCCACAGTTGACAACCAAAGAACATCTCTTCAGCTTAAATCGCCCTTCTCCGAAACAGGTGCATTGTCGATAAAGACTTGATTCCCGCTCTATCTTATAACATGTATCAGTTTGAGTGAGAATCAAGACTTATAAGCATTTGTATATGTTAATTTGAGGTAACTCAAGCTAGCAGAGCCAACTTTTCGATCCGTTTTGATGGATGAAGAACATAAACAGGTGCACACTGACCATTTTACTCACATGTGACTTGCATACCAGCCTGTTCTCACATAAATGTGTCTCTATAGCATGCATTGTATATAATCGTGCATTTTATACCAAGGGGGTAATCCATCAGCCGAAAGTGGAAGCCTCGCGGGAGCCGCCATTGTAGCAGAACTTCACCTGCTGTTAGCATCCCATTGACTCCCATTCATTTTGCTGTTACTTTGACAGCGAAAAACTTTACATCTGAGGCGTCCAAAGATTTCATTCGTCCATTATTTATTTCTAAAGAAACACGACAATGTATAAAATGCTCCATTACTTTGTATCTTGCATTATGGCCCCGTAGATGCCGTTTTTGTGAAAAATAGGCTAACGATTGCATCATCACTACACAACTTTCTGTCGCACAATAGAGACATTACCGTATAGACAGGAGGAGAAGCTCGCAGGCAATCTTTTACTGTCTATGAGGCAATCGGGTGGACATGGAGGCATAAAGTCGAGACAGAAGCCCATAGATAGAAAGTCCATAAAAGCAACGGGACAAAATATTGTCTTGGCACAGCTAATAGAAGATTTACAACTGTCAGACTGTCTTCACGCTCAGTTTGAGGCTGTGCAGTCGCTCAGACATCAGACAGAAAGTGCAAAAATCGGGCTTCAGTCTTCTCCGTTGAAGTCAATGGGGACGCTCTGTCCATTTCTTTTACTGTCTATGATTTATACGCGAAAATGAGTTTTTACGTGCATATGATACGCAGTTTTCGCGTGCATTTGATACGCAGTTCATTTGCATGTAATACACAAGCACCCCACACCACTAATTCTACCCATGCGTATAATACCCATTAGGGCTGGGTATTGACACAAATTTCACAATTCGATTCGATTTCGATTCATAAGCTTGCAATTCGATTCGATTCGATTCGATTCAATATTGATTATTTTGGACATCAGTTACAATAAATGGCCCTTTTTCTCAAGGGAATCAAATCTCTTAAATGCTGTAAACTATGGGAGTCTAGTTGTAGCCTACTAGGCTTCATTAGCCTAATATAAAGGTAATAATGAACTGTTTTGTAGCTGTACAAACACTTAAATTACACTTTTAATTATTTTTTATAATAAGAAGATTATACGAATATAAACATTTAAATGGTGGCTGTCATAAAAACTTGCCAGATTTATTCAAATATGCATTAAATATTGAAGAACATTAAGATTATAATGCATATGTAATATGATGTATATATTTAGCAAAATGAGTTATTTTTTTCTAGCTGACTAAGGAGTTTATGTGGGTTTTCTGAGGTAAATATGACGATACATGACATTGATTACAAGCTGTTTAACTGACGTCTTTCCACGGTTGAAATGCTGATTGAGCGAATCAATGTGACATGATAAGGATTTCGATAAGTTGTACTCTATCTTTTAACACACTTTCAGATGCTCATTCATGTTTATTTCGCGCTGTGACTGGTATTATTAACCCGGAAGAGAGATCAGCGCTGCTAAGAACGATCTCACGCCACAGCGCCAAAACGCTATTTATGTTTTTGAAATTCTAAAGAAAATGGACGTAATTTAAAAATTGAGACTTTATTTCATATCAATAGTAACAAAGGACAAAGATTATTGCGATTTTTTTTTTTGGATGCGAGCAGCCGCGATACAATGATCCATTCATTCAAATGAAACAGGATGACTAATCGATTCTTGAGATTTAAGAATCGATATCGGTTCGTAAAAATGAGAATCGATTAATATCGAGAAATCGATATTTATTACCCAGCCCTAATACCCATGCACCCCACACCACTACTAAACCTACCCTAACCAACCCATGCGCATCATATGCACGTAAAAACTCATTTTTGCTTATAAATTGCACATTAAACACACTGTGTGCTATAGAGATGCATTTAGTGTGATCAGGTTGTGCATAAACACACTATAGCCGCTTTTCCACCAAAGCATTTTGAGAGCCGGTTCGGAGCCAGTGCCTGCACGCGAACCAGTTCTTTGTGTTTTGACAGCCAAAGAACCGGTTCGCGGCTGGGAAAACTGGTTCCAAAGCGGCACCAACTCTTTCCTGGACTAGAACCGTTCTTTTACCACGTCATGCTTACGTCGGGGGCTGGGGCGGGTTTAGATGTGTTCTAAACATCTTTTCTGACCATTATTTAAAACATAAGCAAAGAAGAAAACTGTCACGATATAGAACAAATAAATGGAAAGAAAAAAGACACAAGACAGGGGTACATAACTTATCAGAAAAGATTACATATCAAACGAAAAGATTACAAGACTTACATATTTCAATTGTTTTTAAAGTTTTCTTGGTACACGTTAGAGATAATCCCAAAGCAACGTACTTGCAAGCGTTTCTAGCGACGTACACAGTGACGTAACAACGTCGTTCCCTGGGCGCTCTAGTCAGTGGAAAAACAAACAGGTTCTGAACGGGTTCGCAAGTTGAACCAACTTTGAACCAGCACCAGTTCCGAACCAGTTCTTTTTGGGTGGAAAAGGGGTATTTGAAATGTTGCCTTGTGGAAATGAACCAAACCAGGTAGAAAATGCGTCATTGTGACAGTTTAAGTCCCTATTTTGTAACAAAGAAAACAATCTCTACAGGTCCTTAAGAAAAAAAAAAAAGCTATTTATTGCGTATTGTCCTTGGCATGAAAATAATTTGTCAGCTTACGTAAATTTAAAATAAATATTAAACTACGCAATGTGTTGGAGCCCATGCAGTTCTTGCCAAGCCACAACTGACTGGGACTTTGAAATGACCTATTTGCCTACTGATTCATACCTTGAGAGGTCACACATCCATTTGAAACAACATCCTGGTTCTCTTATCTGGAAAACCCTTCTGCGTTACCACCTACTGTTTAATCTTTAAATTAGTAATTATTTAACACGGGGATAGAGCACACTCCCATAAGGAATTCTTAAAGGATTCTGTAAGGATATTCTACAAGCTACAGTAGTGTGCAGAACTTATTCAGTTATTTTGTTATTTCTTACAGTTGTCTGTCAAAAACACCTAGCTGCAACCATCCAGGTGTGCGATGAATTTGTTGTTTGTTTCCCTGAAAGGGGAAATCCCCTACGCCCTCCCAAAAGAACCATATTCCCAGCAAGGCTCACAAGAAACTTTCCATCTTCCCCCTCATAGTCTCTGACCTCAATCTCATATTCTTCAGGGTCTTTTCTTCTCCACATGCCTCATCTACCCGTGCTGTCATTCTCTTTCAGCTCCCACTCCCTCCCGCACTTTTTCTGCCAGAGTTATGCATGGAATGTCAGCTCCTTGGGCTGGATCTCCATTCCCATCAGGAAGACAGTGACTGTCTCAATGTCTCAGCCTCACTCGTGATTCTAATTGCACATAATATAGCATGAAAGATGTATCTGTGTCTGATCTCTTGGTGCCAGAGAAACAGACACACTCTCAAGTACGTTCCTCCAGGTAGTTTCGACAGAAACATTAACCCCGTCTGTCTCTCTCCTGACAGCCTCCATTCCGTTCTTCGCCTGTGAGCTCAAAGCGGTGACTCCGTACATGAGGGGCTTCTTCTGCGGGGACCCCAGCATCACCTACCCTTACATTAAAGATGAGGCCATTCCTGATAGCATGCTTATAGCCGGGGGCATCATAATCACAGGACTTACGGTGAGAACACACACATATGAGATATCACTTGCTAAAAAAGGCCTTGAAGGAGTAGTTCTTCAGTAGTACTCCAATTCTGTCTTTTTTTACTCACCCTGAATCAACACTGAACCGACTTGAGCCGAAGAATGATGATTGTCTAGAGCCGAATTTGCATTTGTGTCACATTTGATCAAGTTTGGATCATTGATTCTGTTTTCTTGTTTATTACCGTGAAGCTGCTTTGAAACGACCTGTATTGGTCTAAAAATAAATAAAGGTGACTTGACTCATGTGGGATGTATTTTCTTCACAGAAACACAAAAGATAGTTCAATAGTTGTACCAGTCGTTCTTTTCCATGGAATTGGAAAGAATGGCGACAGAGGCTTTTAAGCATCAAAATGGATGCGAAATCAACATGAAAGTATGCCATTTGTCGTCAATACGACTCGTGCCTTCAGAAGACTACAGAAAGCTTTGTGTGAAAAATAACCTCACATCGCCTGCTTCTGGGCCAGAAAGCTACGCTCCAACAAGACTACAGCCAATGGCCAACTAGCACATTACGTTTTGTATATGTGTAAAAGGAAATAATTCTCCATACCAGCAGATGACAGGTGTTTGTCCGTCATTTAAAAAGGTATACCAGAAGAGCTAAAACTGCGAATATCATCATAAATGAGATTAAGATGAAAAGTGAGAAGAGGCTTCTGCGTGCTCTTTCTTAACTTTGTCGTTTGCTTGCTTTTGTAACTTTTTAACAGCTCACGGCCTTAAGTCGGTGAGCCGAACTCAACAACCTAACCAGTCCAATTTGTGAATGAATCATTTACACTTGATCAGCTGATTCATTTATTTTTTGTTGGAATGGTACGAAACTTGGTAAACTTGCTATGTGAACACAAAACAGGTTAAACGGTCCTGAAAAAAACAGTCACGCTTGTGCTCCTCACGGTCGAAAATGACTTTGGAAATAATTGGAAATGAATGGGAGACGAATTGCTTCTAGTGGTAACTTACAGTACTGCGGCCAAACAAAATCTTACTGCAAGCGAATTTTTGGAGATATCAGGCTCAAATTTTGAACACAGTCTGTTCAGATTTATGGCTTTGGTTTTCACACAGTTTTTAGAGTAAAACATGTTTTTTGAAAATATATATTTCATATAAAAATTACATTTTTCATGACAATAAAACAGCAATAATCTGCCAAGTGTCAAACTTTGCTCTAAAGCATTCTAGGTTTACCACAGTTTGATGCTCGAAAAAAGTGAATAAATGGATTATAAGTATAGCGTAAATATAATTTAGTACCATAAAATCCCCTAAAAATGCAAAATATTGAATAAAAAACATTATCGAACTAAAATATAGTACATAAATTTATATATATATATATATATATATATATATATATATATTTGGACGACACGAAGTGCATCAGAGGGTTAAAAGATCTTACTCAAAAGAATGATCTATACTCTTTCTAGGTCTCTCATGAGCTCTTATCAACATGCTTAGGGGTGCTAGGGTCGATGTCAAGATTGTTCAGTGAATAACAACTTAAAGACTTAAAAAATATAAGTAAGTTATAAGGTACGAGAGACTGTGCTGTATCGTGAATAAGTAACGGCTGAAGGGCGTGGTTAGGCATGACGCGAAGCGGAGTAACCCCTTCAGCCATTACTTATTCACGATACAGCACTTGCCTTGAGTACCTTATTGCTTTTATAAAAAGGTTACCACACAATAAAAATAATAAAGTAAATAAACTTTCATGAAATTAATTTACTAAAAGCCTTCCTTTCAATAGAAAAATAATAGTCCCTGACCAACCAACAATGTTCCAATGTGTAAAATGCATGAAAGCGCAAATAAAAACAACACAGGAACCGCAGTTTTGCGCATTGATAAACAGAACCGTTGGGTGAAGCGGTCATAGCCGTGTTTTATCACGAATAGATTGACGAAAGTAAGTCACATGGATTTAAAACCACATTAGGGTGAGTAACTAATGACAGAATTTTCATTTTAGGGTGAACTGTCTCTTTAAGGGACTGCATGTGCACAGCAGTAACAGCCCACGGTTCTCCTGTTACCCAAGGCTATTGATTTACTCTTTTCATCTACTTTGCTATTGAACACGAGGTTCTCTTTGTGAATATGTGTGAGGTACTGTTAGGGCTGATGGTGAACTTATCTTAAATAAGGCTTGGCTGTAACCTCATCTGTGACCCCTGTCTGTCTCAGATTGCTGTCGGAGAGTGTTACCGGGTACGGTTCAGAGGTGTCCACTCACGAGCATTTGTGCGAAACCTCTACGTGTCCTGCCTGTACAAGGAGCTGGGCAGCTTCCTGTTTGGCTGCTGTGTAGGGCAATCCTTGACCAACATGGCGAAGCTGAGCGTGGGCCGACTCCGTCCCCACTTCCTGTCGGCTTGCAATGTGACCTATGCTTCACTCAACTGCCTACCTGGAGACTACATTTCAGATGTCGTCTGCAGGAACGAGCCGAAGATAGTGGAGGAGGCCAGGTATTTTTTTTTTGTTCTATATTTGAGCTCTCTTCCAAAACCTAGTCTGCTAAAATATAAAAAAAAGTACTTTAAGTCTTTACTTTAAAAAAGTGTTACAGTATGTTTGTGTGTAGTATGAAGTTCTATATCCGTCACGTAGACATTGTCAACAATTGTTTGTCATACTTTAAGTATTACAAAGTGCACTTTTTAAAAGTGTACCTAATGTGTTTAGTATACACTTACCGTAAGTGGCCTTTTATTTCATAAATATTATATTACCTGGAAGTACTGTTTAAAAGTAATTACTTTTTAAGTGCACATCCAATACAATTAAGTGCACTTCTTTGTAAGCTTTGCACGGTTCATTCTGAGGTTGTTTCCTGTGGGATCTTCCTCACACACATAGCTATTGATTTTCAATCTTTTCGCTTTTTAAATTAGAACGATTTCATAGACAATGCTCTTACTTTGTCCACCATCTTGGTTAGAGATTGTTGCAATGTGTTGTGGGATTGTCTACTCTGTGAAGGATTAATGCGATAGTTCTTTAGAATTTGGACAAAAGAAGATATCTCAGATGTTTGGAACAGCACTAGCCATATGCAGCCTAGAAAGGAAGTGCACTAGATTTTGAAACATCTGTAGGCCGAGCCTGTTGCATAAACATAGCCCTTATGTTAAAGGAGTAATTCACTTTTAAAAAAAACTTTTGCTGATAATTTACTCACCACCATGTCATCCAAGGTATCCATGTCTTTCTTTCTTCAGTCGAAAAGTAATTAAGGTTTTTGATGAAAACATTCCAGGATTTCAATCCAAACGGTTCAAGGTCCAAATGAGAGTTTCAGTGACTCTCCTGTTCGAACTCGTTCATCAAAATGAACAAATCTTTTTTTAAGTCATTTGGTTCATTCAACGAACGAAATGACTCGAAAAAGATTTGTTCATTTTGATGAACGAGTTCGAACAGTAGAGTCACGAATGCGCGTCACAGAACAGAGCAAGGCGAGCATTTGTGCTTTTAAAACTTAAAGGGTTAGTTCATCCAAAAATGAAAATTAAGTCATTAATTACTCACCCCCATGCTGTACCAACCCCGTAAGACCTTCGTTCATCTTCGGAACACAAATAAAGATATTTTTGATTGAATCTGAGAGCTGGATCAGTCCTAGATAGACTGCATAAGGGACTGGCTCTTGACGGCCCATAAAGTCATTAAAGAAAAGGTTTAAATATTCCATGTGCCTACAGCGGCTCAATTATACGTTTATCAAGCGACGAGACTACTTTTTGTGCGAAAAAAACATAAATAACGACTTTATTCGACTATTCTATTACTTCCTTATGGGCGCATGCGCGAGAACTGAGACCAGGACGTTCTTCTCCTTCGACTACTTTTTGTTACCGGCTGCTCACCGCTTAGGAGTTTTACCGCCACCTACCGTATAAAATGATGATCCATATATAAGGCGCTCCGGATTATAAGGAACACTGTCGTTTTTTGAGAAGATTAAAGGCTTTTAAGTGCACAGCGCGCATCTTCCTCTGCTTGTAAACAGAACGTTTTGCGCTTCCAGCTATATCAGCACATCATCTTATACGGCAGGTGACGGTAATACTCCTAAGCGGTGAGCAGCCAGTAACAAGAAGTAGTCGAAGAAGAAGAACGCCCTCGTCTCAGTTCTCGCGCATGCGCCCATAAGGAAGTAATAGAATAGTCAAATAAAGTCGTTATTTATGTTTTTTTCGCACAAAAAGTAGTCTCGTCGCTTGATAAACTTATAATTGAGCCGCTGTAGGCACATGGAATATTTAAACCTTTTCTTTAATGACTTTATGGGCCGTCAAGAGCCAGTCCCTTAGGCAGTCTATGTAGGACTGATCCAGCTCTCAGATTCAATCAAAAATATCTTTATTTGTGTTCCGAAGATGAACAAAGGTCTTACGGGGTTGGTACAGCATGGGGGTGAGTAATTAATGACTTAATTTTCATTTTTGGGTGAACTAACCCTTTAAACTTTTTTCTTTATTTTTTAAATGACTGGTCATTTTGCTAGATAAGACCTTTATTCGTCGTCTGGAATCGTTTAAAGCCCTTTGAAGCTGCACTGAAACTCTCATTTGGACCTTGAACCGTTTGGTTCCCATTGAAGTCCATTATATGGAGAAAAATCCTGGAATGTTTTCATCAAAAACCTTAATTTCTTTTCGACTGAAGAAAGAAAGACGTGGACATCTTGGATGACATGGGGGTGAGTAAATTATCAGCAAGCTTTTTTTTTAAAAATGTGAACTAATCCTTTAAGACAGTGTCTTAAGTTCTAGTATGACCCACTAGCAGTTAGTCAAGGGCAGTCGGTCTTACTTTTCAGTATCAAATTAGACTAATATACGATTTATGTAACTGATTTAAAAAAAGATGACCGCAGTAGGTGGTGGCATTTAAAAAAAAAGTGATTAACTCGCAACCACCTGCTGGTTTCACAGACAGGGCTTAGATTAAGCCAGGATTACACCTTAGTTCAATTAGGAGATTTAAGTAGCTTTCAGTTACATTACTGGTGTGACAAACCAGAGGCACTGACATATTTTAAGATATGTCAGAGCTAGTCATTTACAGTTAAAAAGGCTCAAACATGCATTTTAGTCTGGGACTAGATTCAAGCCTTGTCGGTGAAACCCGTGGGAATGTGTATGATTAGTTAAGGTCGAACTACAGGATTTCACGTGCAAATGTTAGATGCTTTTTAATCGCATGTTATGTTTTATGAAACTATGGTGGTATTTACTGAGAAAAACATTTATGTTTGCGATTACCCAATACAGACAGTGTTACGGCCCATAAAACAGCGCTGTGGTTTAATGATTTGCAGGATTGTGACATTTAGTTGGTAACATTTCCCTCTGCTCTTCTTAAACAGAAAGTCCTTCTTCTCGGGCCATGCATCTTTCGCCATGTACACCATGCTTTACCTGGCAGTGAGTATCGCCATGTGTGGCCGTATTTTCCACATGCACACTCAAACACACGTCAGGGTTGCAGAAAACTCCCGTGCTTGCCGTGGGATGCAGACGAGGAGCTGTACTTTTGTCAGCTTCACTTCCCATCCCTGCCATGTGGGAAAAAAAACGCCCAAAAATTCCAACTGACAAGAAACTCTCTCAAAACATCAACTCGCACAAATACACTCATACTGAAAGAAGAAGGCTCTGAGAATGCAAAAAAAAAGGCATTTCGCTTCAAGCGGAAAAGAAAGGATTGAGTGAAAGGGGGAATGTTCTCCAGAGGCCTGATGAATAGACGAGTGGAGAGAGGGAGAGCGAGTGAAAGCTAGCCGAAGACAGAGGAGGCCTTGTTTAGTTGTGGGTTGGGTCCGGGAGGGGGGGAGCTTTGGCCTGCTGAGAGATAGACAGGCTTCTTTCAGCTAAACCCCTCTCTCTCACTCGCTGTTATGGCCTGGGGAAGGGGCACAATAAGGGGAAAAATGACAAAACACTTACAGGCAATCATAAAGCTTGACATTCAATAGCATTCACATTTCTCTTTCACTCAACTGCCCCACAAACCATATCAGAATTTATTCTGCCCTGAGTGCCAATCACGTTTAGAACGGAGGAAAGAAGATTTGTCCCGCTGCGTAAAAACAAGCTATTTTCGACCATTCATCTGATTCAATTCACGGGCCTCTGGCTGCTCTAAAAGTGGGAGAGCTCTTCAACTCTCATTAGAGAGGGAACACGAACAGAAGAGCACAGAGCGAGGGAAAAGCTATAGAGAATCCGTGCCAGGCTCTTTGTCCTCTCTGCCTGTTTTTTTTTTTTTCTCTCGGTCCCATCCAATGGCCGCTCTGTTCAATCTTAGCCCTGCCTTGAATGCCTGACCTGCGGCCGCATGCTCCGGCTCTGAGCGCCAGCTGCTCCAGGCTTTCCTGCAGGAAGCCAAACACCTGTGATGAGAGGCGCACAAGGACCCTTAAAGTCTGGAATGTTCCGCGGTCCCTCAATATCCGTAAAGTTCATCTGCTGCTGTCTCCGCTGACCCCAATATATCTCCCCGGCTTTCGTTATAGCTTGGTCGTCAGGGTGGTACGATGAGCACATGTTAACGTGTTTATTTTTTCCTCACGAAAAGCTAGTGTTTACTTCTAACCGGATCGTTTCTCGGATCAGAGTCACGGATCGGATCTACGGAAGCCCTGAACCGCAACCTAAAAAAAAAAAAAAAATCAGTAAAAAAAAAAAATCTGTAAAAAAAAAAAATCTGTAAAAAAAAAAAATCTAGCATTTCGAGATTAAAGTCGAAATGTTTCGAGATTAAAGTCGAAATGTTTCGAGATTAAAGTCGGAATGTTTCGAGATTAAAGTCGAAACATTGTGCATTCATAACAGTGCGCGTCCACTGGCTCAGAGCGCGCGCGTGTGTGTGTGTGTGTGAAGTCGAACTGCCATGGATAAACCCAAAATAGCGGTTCAGGGCTTCCGTAGGATCATTTTTCGGATCAGCAAAAAAATAAAAATAAAATAAAAGACAAGACAAATAAACATAGGTTTTGTCTTTTTGATTATTAACACTTTTAAATTGTGAGCGGTGAGAGCTATATGTGACGATAACGGATAGCAATTTGTGATGGCTTTAGCCCGGTCTGATTATGCAACAAGGGGCTGCTTAAATGCCGCGGTGGTACGTCTCGGTTTTATCTACTAACCTCTTTCCTTCATGTTATATTTGATGGAAAATCCAAAATGGTCCCATATGTGATTTAAATGACGCGGGGCGTTCAAGCTTCTCCGTTCCTCCGCTCGCTATGACGAAACAGTGTGTTGACTGAACAACACGCGCACATTTTTTTTTTTTTCTTCATAATCAATCCGCGGATCACGTGTGAGCCAAACCGAAGACATTGATCCGAACGAATCACGGATCAATGATGATCCGTTGCACCACTACTTCTAACTGAAATGTAGCCTCCTAAGTGACCAATTTGGGACACTCTGTCTAATATAGCACAGACGTGAAGACTAACCCTACTTCCATAGTGACCCAAGTAGTATGTCCAAATTTGTAGTATTCATAAAACAATAGGCGAAAAGTACCCGAGATTCTGAAGTGCGGAATCTGATGAACACTTTACTATCCCATGAGGCCACGGGAGAGGATTTGTGAATTAAAGTGAAGTGATGGGAACCTATTGTCATCCACTATTAGGGTGGAGATACAGAAACTAGGTGACTACTAAGTAAGCCTATAAATTAGTGTTTCTCATTGACATAGTGTTTCTTTTGATAGCTAATTTAAAGTCGTGATTAAACAGAAGCAGAAACAGAAAATTTCTTCTGTATTGTGACGTACATCCGAGTGAAGTGGAGTACATCCGTAGGGAAAGTCTCAGTTCTGTCCAACAGTTGTTGATTGGATGGAGGCAGATCTTCTAAATAAATACATTTTTGGTATGTTTTAGCTTACCTCGAGGGCATCCAAGATGTAGGCGTGTATGTAGTAGTTTCAATTTTGATATTTTTAGGTCAAACCGTTGTTGTCTGTCAGTCATATAATGGAGGTCTATGGTCACCACCTCAAAGAGCATGCACAGAGAAGTACAGATTAAACATGATTTAGTGACTCGTAAATGTAAGTACACATTGATGGCCTAAGACACAAAACGAGCAGTTTTTATATAGTTTTTACCTCTTGTAACCACAGCCATGTCCAACTGATCTGAGGGCGCGGGCGCTTTGTGGCTGTGGTTACAAAAGGTAAAAAAAAGATATAAATACTGTTCGTTTTCTCACACAAACCACTCATTTAGTGTCTTAGGCCATCAATGTGTACTTACATTTACGAGTCATTAAATCATGTTTAATTTGGACTTCTCTGTGCATGCTCTTTGAGGTGGTGACCATAGACCTCCATTATTTAACTGAAAGACAAGAACGGTTTGATCTAAAAAAATTTCAAAATTGAAAATACTGCCGAAACAAAGACACCTACATCTTGGATGCCCTTGAGGTAAGCTAAAACATACCAAAAATTAATTTCAAAGTGAACTATCCCTTTAATGCAAACTTGCCGTTGATTATAAGGAGTTTATGCAGACAAAATGATTAAAGAAGTCCAGCACACATCAACAGAGAGAAGTCTGTCACTTCAACAAAAGATTCAATTTTGATTAAAAATTCAAACACAAAGTTTATAAATGTTTACAATAACATGCATTTAGAAAATAGATGGGGTAAATTCTGTTGTCATGCTGACGTTAAGCTCTTTAATCTATTTATAATACTTACGGACTAAAACTTCAACTAAAATAGAACAATTTTCTTTTTAAAACTAAATAAGCGCATTGTTTTGGCTTTTGAGGGTAGTTTATCAGATTTAGCTAACTTCCTTGAAATCTTTAAGGAAATGTAGCAAGGTCAAACACACAGACACACAAACACACTCTGTAAGCTTTATTCATCAGCCCTTAAGTTAATCGTTCTTGAAACTTCCTGTCTTTGCGCAGTTCTACCTGCAGGCGCGGCTGTCATGGCGAGGGGCGCGACTCCTGCGACCGTTGCTGCAGTTCATGTTGGTGATGTTAGCAGTGTACACGGGACTCAGTCGCATTTCCGACTACCGCCATCACCCCACTGACGTCCTGACCGGCTTCCTGCAGGGAGGACTGACCGCTTACTGGGTGGTAAGAATCACGTCGCAACACGTTCTAGACAAGCGTTACTTTCTGGAAGTGTAAGGTACTTTTTGTTTGACGTTTTCTTTGTGTCGTTTCAGGCCTTTTATATCTCATCCATGTTTAAGACGTCTCGTCCAGACATGTCTCCCACAAGCTTGTCTCTGGAAAGTCCCCTGTCCAGCCAGCAAACCGTTTGCTAACAGACCTGCACAAAGAGACACCTGAGAGAGATCGATAGTAAAAGCGGGAGTGATGGAGCGAATAACGGGAATGGGACAAAGAACTTTGGACCGTGTTCAAATCCTCACAGAGAACCATTTCCTGCCCATCCTGAGAGATGAACAGTTACGTATACATGTCTAACCCTTCAACAAACCCGTCCGCATGGTATCAACCCTCCATAGATAAATGATATTTTTATATATATATATATATATAAAAAGTTTATCCTTTATATTTTTGAAATATGTTCTAGTTGAAGCTGCTAATAATTGTTGTATTGTAATTTGTCACCTGTAGTCCAGGGTCAGATATTCACACATAATAACCCACATGTAACTCTCAACATGTAGAGCTTTTCGGGCACATGTTGAATGTTGGACAAAAGTGGACCAATCACAGCAACCCTTGGTCCTCAGAACACACCCTTTAGGTTTGCTATTGGACCTGGCTAGACCACTGTTCTGGTGCGCTGTTGCACAATCATAGCGGTGCCGATTCTCAGACAACAACATCGTGTCGATCTAGATCGGGCCGCGTGGAATCAACGTACGTGGGCCGGATCCGGGCCGACGCTATGTCGCTGCCTGGGTTGTGGACACCCTCGGTTTATAAAAGCACAGATTTGATGCTAATGCTATTAAGCTTATGTTGTATTAAGGTGAGCTAAACTCTATGTTTGTACTAACCACTTTCACTGCATGAGTGAGACTGAAAGGAGGTTTGATCCGACAACCTCCTCACCCCCCCTCCTCCGCATAATGAGGGCTTGAATTGTGCCCAAACGCTCAGCGGACCGGGGGGGTCTATACCTGTGTACCCTTTACTACTCATAGCACTTGAATTATTACACTATGGAATCGTCTAATTACTACAGATAATATTTTATATTTTGTCTTCTTAAATCAGTGTTCTTTCTTTCCTGCGGTCAGTGCCATTTGTTTGCGTCTTTGTGTGTCCCCCAAATTATAATTATTCAGAATGAATGTATATAAATCATTTTATAAAACGATCCAGATTTTCTGAAGTATTAGCATCACTTTTGCAAGTTTTACTATATGTTCTTATCGTTCGTGTTGATCAGGTACGCAGAGTTATTGTTGCTAATTGTTAAAGAGACTAGTGACTGAGCCACAGATTGTCAGAAAGCTATATTCTACTTATCTAGTTTCATTTCATTTGTTGGTTTCCTCTGTGAAGAGCCTGTTTGGCTGAAATAACCACTGTATTAATAAACCAAACCAATAAAATGAATGTTCAATCTTTTTTTATATCTCATTTCGCCCTCCTATACAGTGGCAGAACCTACTGCACATCCTCCCACACACTTCTACACAACCACTGTGAGTAAAGCTGCTGTAAAATAGCTGATACACACCTGAGACTGCACATCATCGCTATTTCTACAGTATGTTGCTTGGCAAGCATAAAGACCCATTAAATGATCATTTATTGAATGTTATGTCCCAATTTGCCTACGTATACAATGTCCTAAAAGTATGTACTGTTTTTATGGAGAAAAAGTACATACTTTTGAGTGTGTAGCAGCAAACTTGGGGAAAAACTACTATGTCATAGACCTTATTCAAAGCAGTCTTTAATTTTTAATGAGAATGAAAGCGAGGCTGTGAGGGATAGATATATATCTCTCCAGTGGGTTGCACAGTTATTTAATGTGTTTTTGGATTGTTCTGCTGATGAAACACTAGTTCACCCCCCAAAATTAAAATTATCCAATAATTTACTCATCCTCAAGCCATCCTAGGTGTATATGACTTTCTTCTTTCAGCCAAACACAGAGTTATATTAAAAAATATTCTGGCTCTTCCAAGCTTTATAATGGGAGTGAATAGTGCATCCATCCATCCATGCATCATAAAAGTAATCCATACAACTCGATAAACGCCTTTTAAAATGAAGTGATACATTTTTGTAAGAAAAATATCCATATTTACAACTTAATAAACTATAATCACTAGCTTCCAGTAACTGCCGTACGCAAATCTAGTTCCAGCGGAAAGAATGACCTCTGAGTGACCTCTAAACTAGTTTTGTAAAATCAAAGTTTACTATACCGTTACACTTAAAGTATACTCTAAAAAGTGGGCCAATTTAGTCCCAAGTAGTGATTTACAAGTATACTTCTAGTACATTGATATTAGTATACTTTCTACATAAAGTATACTAAAAAATATACTTGAATAATTAAGTATACTTTTTTGAATTTGAAGAATACACCTTATTCCTACACCCCATGACGCTTTGCGTGAATTATGGGTGTAACTTCCGTAAAGCTGTAAACAATCAATGAAAGGCTCGCTCTATGAACGCAATACGCTGAAAAAGTGTCACAATGCGAGGATATTAATCGACTCACCCTTCAACCATCGAGCATTAAAATGAAATTTAAAAGTTTAAAAGAATCAACAAGGCACTTCAACAGACCAAAAATAGCCCCATAAGCACGAGTCTTTGGTTAAATATCACTGTTGTAGGCATCTATATATATATATATATATATATATATATAGTATATTCATTTTAGATTATAAATTGCATTTACCTGTGAAAACAAACCTGGAAAGAGACGTGAGGATTTGAGGAGAATAATGATCCAAATTAAATTTGGGAGAACAGACCACAAATGTGTAAGTGTATATGTTGTCCTTTTTCACACGTGTACAGCGGATTGCAAAGGAAAAAATAAAAATCATCATGAGGAAAAGAAAGCAGCAACTGAAAAGAGCTCTTGCCATAGATATTCTTGTTAAAACATGTCACGTTAAAATACCAAGCAAAACGTTATTCTCATGATGTCTGAAAATAAATCATCAAGGAAAATTGACAGCTCATCCAGCCACCCATAATTCAAAACGTCGTCAGGAATAAGGTGGATACTTATTTTTTGTAAGTAACTCTAATCAAACACATCTGAACAAGCTAATCAAGGTCTTCGGGATTACTAGAAAGTGACAGGCTGAGAAGTTGAGAACCCCTGCTCTTCAACCAGCAGTGGCTAACTGCTAATGCTAACAAATCAAACTTGACCACTTGAGTTCTGCAAAAAGATACAAAGACATTAAATACATAAGCAATGTGAGGGTGATTCAAAAGCAGAACAAGAAACACTGGCCTTTGAACATTCTGCCCCATCCTGACCTCTCTATTGCTTCATCAGGCTAAAGTTTAAGCCTTGAAACACTGCAGTCATGACACACACAAGAGCAGCTCTTTGAGGAAACTAGTTTAACATTAGTCATCCAATCTCTCCAGCTCTCTCTCTCCCTCCCTGCCCCTCATTTCCCTCCCTCTCTCTCTCTCTCTCTCTCTCTCTTCAAGTGCAGTGGAGCGCATTGGCTGTTTCTGGGGTCATGGTGGTCCAGATAGAAATGTAAGAGGCTTTGCTTTTCCTTCTCTTTTTTCTTCTCCAGTGTACCTACTTCCAGACGCGGTGAGCAGAATAAAAGGCAGCCAAGATCAGAGCGAGCTAGGGAGAGATAAAGCAATTGAAAGAGAGAGGGAGCGAGTAGAAGTAAAGGCATGAGTGGAGGTGCGGTATGAGGGGCGAGTAAGGGGGCGGAGCTCTGTGGTTGGCTGCTGGTGTAGTGCAGGGAGGTGTTGGGGGCTCTGGGTGTGGGGCGCTCGAGTGGGAAGGAATGTGACTGTGGTTTTGGGGCTGTTTTGTTTCACGATGTTGTTACCAGGGAACATATTTTATACCTGACGTGTAGACATGTTCCATAATGTATGGCCCTGCTCTTTTACATAATACACTTCGCTCAACTTGTCTTACCACTATGACTCTCCAACGGCCTTCACTGGGATCCCATAATTCTGCAGCCCGGAATCAACAGCGATAAGCGGAGACAGATTCTCCCTGTAAATAAAACTCCCTGATATTTGAAAGACAACATGACATGGCATTCCGAAAGCATTTAAATCTAGAATATCCACATTATTCAAAAAATATTTAAATATGTTTTTTTTTTTTAATTAATTAATCAAAATGCTAAAATGCTTATGATGGGTTCTATTATTTTCAACGAACCGAATAGGCTCTTGGATATGATGCCACTTTCACACTTCAAGCATTCTGGTATGTTTTGCGTGTCCGAGAAAAAACATGGACGCCACCCGGAAAGCTGTTGCTATGGTAGGATTGGCCGAGTACCAGTCGCTTATTAAAACGCAACGCTAAAATGTTCACTTTATTTCATGTTTTAGTTCATCTTCTTTTAGCAACACTAGCCACGTTAGTAACACCCGTTAGAAACAAGGCTTCATTCAATATTGTAATCACAACAAGAGCGATTCCCATACCTACAGGCAGTGACACGGACGCAGTAAGGTATTGCAGTGATACGAGTTATAATCAAAACCAATTCATACTTACAAGTCACATAGGACGCAGCCATCTTGGATTCCGTATCGGAAGTCTTGCTCGGTGTCCTCACGGTTGACTTCCGAACTGGGAAATCCGAGGAAATGGGGTGCGTGGTGCATGTTGCTAGACAACGTCTGTCTTCCTAGCCGGAACTCCAGCATGGATAAATAATAGAAAACACCATAGTCTCTAATTTTTAGCCCCTCCCCCTTTCTCTCCGACTACCTGTTATATAGAGGCCATCTTTCAGTGTCCAATCAATTTCCAATGGATAAATTCCTGTCCTACATGTTTTTCACCGAACATCATGATCTGAATTACTGTTTTCAACATTGATTATAAGAAAGGTTTGTTGAACATCAAATCAAAATATTATAATTATTTCTGAAGGATCATGTGACACTGAAGACTGGAGTTATGCTAAATGCTAGTTATGCTAAAACATCAGCTTTGACATCAGGAATAAGTTATGTCTTAAAATATATTAAAAAAGAAAATGGTTGTTAAATTCTAGTAATATTTAACAATTAATTAAACAAATGCAGCCTTGGTGAGCAGAAGAGACTTAAAAACAAATTCTTACCAGGAATTTTATCATGGACAAAGTTGCCATTGGATAAAATCAAGTTTCATCCTACATGTTTCTCACTAAATATACTATTTTCCTTGCACATGTATGTCCAACGCTATCTCACGACCAATTCGAGTGATTACAAATTGGCTAATTCATACTAATTAATGCGACCTCACTTGTACGAATTCGTACGATTTGTCTAAACCCACGTGATGGGTAGGTTTAGGGGCGGGGTCAGGGGTAGGTCATTCGTACAAATTCATACGAAATTGGCCAATTTGTAAAATATGTATGATTTAGCAAAAATAATATTAATTTGTACAAGTGAGGTTGTACGAATTGTTACGAATTAGCCACCTCGTAAAATTCGTACGAATTGCCGTGAGATCGGGTTGGTATGTCTGGTTCTGTCAACCCAGACAGCAACACAGTATCGCCTCAGATCCGGTCCACATCTGGGACGTGTTGAATCCACACGTACCAGATGTTGCCCAGATCTGGGCCGACAAAATGTTGCTGTCTGAACAGAAAACAAGACATTTGGTGATGAAGATGAAGAAGAAAGGTGAATAATTTGATGATTTGTGCAGAATGAGACCATACATTTATTTGGAATGGAAGTAAATATCATACTTTTGATGTCATGTCTTAAAGCAGCCATTTTTCAGACTTTCAGAGTCCAAATCAGTCCAGAGTGATGCTATGGTTCGGCATGTGTGCGATCCATCAGTCCAAACAGAATGATTTTGAATGGAAATCTGAAATGTCCAAGCAAGCAGTGCCTATGGAGTGATGAAACGAACATGACGGCCACAGCCACCACAGCACAAAATCCCTCCATCCAGGAAACAGCTGCACCGTCCACAGCAGACTAGTGGAATGCAGCACGCAGCCTCCCTGCACCAGAAACACACAAAGCCTGTTTTTGAAGTCCGGGAATGTCCGTTTTTGAACTGTGTGATTCATATAAATCAATCAATGAAAAGGAACCAGTCCTCTGATGTGGCATTGATTTAAAAACAAAATCTTCCATGCCAGCAGGTGTCACTATGAAACTCAAGACCACTGGGACAAATGAAGGTCAGTGTAAGCTGATTTTCAACCCCGCTTTGTACTGTTCCAATGTCAGTATGTTATTGAACAATGTTTACTCTTTATCTGTGTTTCCTGGACTGAGAAATTCCCATTTATTTTGACAGGTCCAAGGCTTTTTCGATAACTACAGAATGATACTTCCGCATTTTTGTACCCCCACCTGGAGAGTTGAATCGACAGAGGGTTAAAAACAGAACAGTTACTGTAAGGGTAGGTTTATCACTGAAAATTGTATCGAACTTATATGGCACTTTTCCATTACCAGTACCGGCTCGACTCGGCTCAACTCGCCTCGACTCGCTTTTCGCTCCGTTTTCCATTGCAGACAGTACCGCCACTAATAGTACCCGGTCGCCATAGCGACACCTTTAGTTCCTCGTTCCCCCATCAGAACCTCGCGGGAGGTGATACAAAAAAAAGTACCTGAAAGCAGGAACAGGTACAACTTTTACACAGTGGAAAACCAAACAAAGGCGAGCCGAGTCGAGTCGAGCTGGTACTGTGTAGTGGAAAAGTGCCAATATTCTTTAAAACAGCATTATGGTAAAACTGAATGCTTCGGTCGAAACTGATAAAACAGCAATTTCTTTCATTTTTTTCCCCTCTGTTTGGCCTAAAATACTGTTCGTTGTCATCCAGTTTAAAAAGTTGACTACAAACAGATGTTTTTTTTCAGATTTTCCCTTGCTGTGTTTGTTCCCTTCATATTTACACGTGGATTCAACGCATACCAGATGTGGGCCGTATCTGGGCTGGAACAATGTTTCTGTCTGGGTTAGCCGCTGCCTTCACTGGAAACTGAAAGCAACTCACCCCCACTATTCACCATTGTCATCATTATTACTAAAAGTTTGCAAAGGAGTATTTCCATCTAAAGCATGGAAATATTTGATTCTGGTCAAGAGTATCCATAACAGACTGGTGGGAGTGGCCTTGGTCGGCAGCATGCCTAGTGCATTATGGGTGTTGAAGTTTTCCTACATACAGTATTTGGCACAGATCAGATTTATTCGATTATTTTGGGCAGCAAATTTTTATTGAAAGCCCATTTTACCGGTGATGAATTACCCCTTTAATGCATTTCACTGGTTTTATTGTGAACTCCTTATTGGTGCATATATTTTTTTCATTTTCTTGTTTGAGAAACAGCGTCACTCAGAAATACCACATCACAAAATGGTAGTAAAGTTGGTGGCAACCGACTACGTTTCGTGCTGATTTTAGGGCAAAGTCTTATGACGTGAATTCACTAATTTGTGTTTTAAATCAGCACTAAATCATCAATAACTCTGATGGATTTTTGAAACTGGATATTCTACAAGAAAAAAAAGTCTTACACTTGATATATCAGTATATCTGTTTGTAAAGATTATGTAAAGTAAATGTATTACTTTATAATAAATTCTGATTTCTGACATTACATGCATACTTTCTCTCCACTTATAAGTCCTTTCTCTTTTTCCCAACGGTTTGCCCCTGGACATTTCGATCTGCCCGAGTGATCCCTAATAACAGCCTGTGAAATACTTTAGACCCTTCACCCCTCATTATCAAAGAAAATAGAGATTACCCCATTTTCTTCTTTGACCAACACATGGTTCATACCTCAGGGGAATTAGACTGATAAGACATTAAGGGAACAAACATTCAAAAATAGCTGCCCTTATAAATAAAAGTGACGTCTAGAGATAAGAATCGAGTTTGGCGAAGGATGTCTCTTGCATGTGTTCTCCCACGTAGGTTCCCTTCATTCCAGTCCAGCCAGGCGAGAGCACTTCATACCTGAGACAGCAATCGGAAGTAGGACATACCTTCCAGGATCTGATTAGGACCCTATCGTCTCATTATCAAGAACACGTGCAATCAAAAAGCCGGCAACACTGCACCGACATTCCCCCCGCAGTGGCACTAAAACTACCTCATAAATCCAAAGCCGCAAACGCTTTGCTATATAATGATCGTCATTTTTTATTTACGCTCACCGCAGCTCATGACGGTGGCATTAAACTGCTCTGGGAAAAGGCTAAACCACAGAACTGGCAAAACGAACTGGATAAAAAACGCTGTTCGGTACCGGCGCTGTTCTCGCCACGCTCCGCGGCTCACGGCTTCAACTCTGCGTGATGCCGGCTCAATTCCTAATAGAATAAGCTTGGATTAATTGGCTGTTTATATTCAGGAGTTCCAGTCTTGTTCCTTTCCCTGATATGGAGTGCATTGCTCCATTTATCCCAGTAATGAAAGTGGAGAATGCAGCGGCAGCGGTCATTACCGCTCCCCGACCAGAACAATGTGTTCAAACTCCAGCCTGTGAAAGACATTAACTAGGCCGTCTGAGAGCACTGATGACTAAATATCTCAGTCACTTTTCTTCAGAGATGACCGTAGGGACTGCACCTGGGTCAACGGCATCCGCAACAAGACCAAAGAGTTCTCTAAAATATCTCGATGCCCCCGAGGGTCGTAAGTGAGGGCTGAAGGTGGGAATCAGATGTGCTGTGGAGATCTCACATCACCCTGGCTGGATCCTGCCAAGTCATACCTGAGAGGACAGTCCCATACATCAGATTTCAACACACTTCTACGTCAAATGTTTGCGCAACAAAAAGGTAGATCACTGCTGATGCTGTTTTATCATTCAGAACATCCGTTTAGTGTAGCGTCTCCAAACATCTCCGGAGTCCTTCGATTTCTTTGATAAAATTCTGTACGTCATGAAAAAGCAACACTTTCTCTTAGAAGATTTCTTAGACTTTTTTGTGCTTTTACTCAATTTCTTTAGGCTATAAAAAAGCGAGTGTAGGGGGGATTGAGGATGGTTGTAACACCAGATTTTGTACATGCATTTATTTTGTGACTCAAACTGATTTTACTCTAAAAAAAAAAAAGACTCTTCCCAGACAGCATCATAGTGTCGGCCCAGATCCGGGCCACATCTGGTACATTGTGTCTTCAACCCGCAGATGTGGGCAAGATCCGGGCCGACACTATGATGCTGTCTGGGTTTCCTTAACCTACTGCATTCAATCGACCCTTCGCTAAGCCACGCCCGAAAACCGCCACTGGCCAATCGTGTCTTAGCAACCGTAACTAGGTATTGTGCGTATGGATTGTGCAAATCTGATACCCGGTATCCTAAAAGTTTGGACGGGGGAGTGGATTTGTTTTCCTTTTCGCGAAAATCTAAAAGCCGCGGGGAGAAATGATGGGCGTAATTAAACATTCACAACTAAATGTCGACATGATTAACAAAAACACCTATTGTTTGGAAATATGGATGGTTCTTTGGTCTTAATGCATATGTTTTAACGTAAAATGAGACGATTAAAGACAAGACGGAGGCTCACTGACATACTTTAAAATATATTTAAGCATTTTGTTAATCGACGGCCTACTACCCCTGACTAGTAAACCAATCCGATCGCGGCTCTCCCGGTGTTAGTCTTATTCCACAAGATTTATGGATAAGCTGTTTGATTTATAATTATTAGGATTATTTCACATACCCTGCTGTGCACGAGCATAGCTGTTCCTCAATTTGTGAGTTTCCCATTAATGGTCAGCAAATGAGTCCCGGTGGGACTATAGAATTTAGCTTCAATTTTTAAGAAATCATTCTCTGATCGGTTGCAGATACTACAGTCCCTTTTGTCTTGCTCTCTCAGATATTTCACATGTTCGCCAAAAATGATTATCTCATTGGGAAATGTCTGACACCAGCGCATACACACTTTAATAGATGTGCCAGCTGCGAAAGCTTGACAGGCGTAGCAACAGTAACTAGGGAGGGCGGGGCTTAGCGAAGGGTAATTCAAGCTTTAAAAAAGAACACAATTGAAATAGTTGATAAGTAGGTGCATCTTTACTTACAATCAACAGAATGTCTAAAGGGGACCATCAAAATAAAGTGTAACCAATTGTCCTAACATTTAGGTCAAAGTTTTTGGCAAACGTTATACGTCATGTCATTCAAACTTCCATTTTCATGATCGCTAAACAAATTCAAACCAAGATGGTGTTACAATACCCAGGTCTCCCCTACTCCTAAAAGTTAATAGCATTTTTTTTTAACAAAAAAAGTCTTCGTCTTCAGGGAAATAGGCCAAAAAATCATTTTGAATAAAACAACATTGGGTGACAGGTACTTCTTTCATGACTAGTGAGCTCATGCTGTTAATATAGTAATGACCACAACAGTCATGAGGAGTGTTATCTGATCTGTGGAGGCGCCACACAGGGTATTAAGTTTATTCTAGTGTGTCCATGTTAAACATTGTGCCCTAGGGTGACTTTCCTCTTCAGAAACAGTGTCAAGGTTACCTGGGTTAACTATGTTACATCAACCTTTGAAACCACACGCAGTCACTGAGAGAGAGAGAGAGAGAGATACCACATCTGTGAGATAAGACAGACAGAAAGGAATTTCAAGGGAAACAACATGGTTGTCGGTCTATAACTTAGTCACTTAAAGGTAAATGAATACAACACTTTATCTGTGAGACAGACAAGGACATGTACTGAGAATGATAGCAAGTCATGTGTTTGTTATTGCGTCTGAGAGCCGCAGTCTGTTGTTTTTAAAGTGACAATCCGCGTGTTGTGTTCGTTTGAGCAGGTGTGCATTAATAGTTCATGACTCTTTGCCATTAAAACAAAATGGAGAACAAATGCAGTAAAATCAAAGTCTATGTAGGGTTGCTTATAAGACAGAGACAGTGAGACAAAGCAGAAAATGTCAGCACCGTTTCTGTCCACACTGAAAGTGAAGAAACAGACTAGGATACTCAAATTAGCTTCTGGTTGGAATAAGTATATTTCTATTGAAATTGTTTTATTTGTTTTTTATTGTTGTTGTTTTTTCTCAGAAAAATAATACCTGGCTCCAAACAATATATCTAACAAACATAATATTGTAATATTATACAGATGGAAAAACAGCACAGTTAAGCATGTTATTTACAGCAATGCAAACTTGTTTTTTGTTTTGTTTTTTGCATGCACCATACAGAAAGCAGAATACTAACAATTTAAAAAAAATACATTTTTAAACTAACTTTTTGCTAACTGCTACACTCTACAACTATAAAGTGCTTACATAGCAAAAGACAAATGCATTTCAATAAAGGCTTATTGTCCTTTAAAGGTGCCATCTGGAACTAAAAATCAAAAAATATTCCAAATTCCATAACAGATGGGGGCAGTATACCTCCAGAAAATGTGTTGTGCCGCTGCCGCACGCACTCACGTCTTCAAACAACACAAACGAGCGCTGTTTTGCTCTCTTTCTCCGCATATTATTCAAATCATTTGACACGATAGTAAAAGGTCGGAAGACCGCAGTTTCACGTGGAGCATTTGGAGATTTTTAGAGATCAGAGACTAAATGAACAACATCTCAACACTAAATGATGAAGACCGACTCATAGACGCCTGTCTCAAAAACAAGCTGTTGCATTTCGACGATATGGGAAAATAAAAGCCTGCAGGCTATTATTTTAAGTTTACGGTATTCGTTTTGTTCATATTACACTTTTATTGTTAGTTTGAATTAATTTGACTGACAGCATTCGCTGCTGCCAGCTCTCACGAATTCACCGTGAGACACATGCAATTAACACTTAGCAAGCAGGTTAGTTAAGCTCTTAGATTGTGTCAATTTTATTATGCAATTCAAACAATAAATACCGTTTTGGCGCTTGTACATGTTACACCACAGATCCCTAGCGCACGTGAACCGATCATCTCTACTAGCTAATGGAAAAAGAACCCGAACACTGTTGAAAGATACAGTATGCTACAACTTACCAAAATGTATTCCTCATGCATAATGTCAACCAATCATTTTTTGAACTCTTCCCTGAACTGAAATGTAGTAATGGGCTGTATTTCCACACGACTGACATCAGGTTCAAGTACACACAAGCCGGCGCGAGCGCGACTCACTCGTGTACTGCAGTTTGGCTGGTGGTAACGTTGCCCGGCCGCATACCGCCTCCCATGGCCGGAACTGGTATTACGACACCTGCCGGGCCAGGGCTAGTAATTTAGCATGCTAATTTAGGTTATATGTCGGCAGCACTATAACTTGTCAGTTTTTTAATTACATCATTGCACTTATATTTCTTCTCATTCTTTTGATGCGTGTAGCTCATTTTTTGGATATTTTTACCTCAATTATTACATATGGCACCTTTAATGAATGAAATAATGAATGAATGAAATTAATGAATGAATGGCTGGTTATAGTTACAGAGAGGGTCCCCGACCACTATCTACTCTGGAACCATTTTTATTGGAGCTAAAACTAATAAATGTCCCAGCTGTTTTATCCAACATTTTATTTCTGGGATTTATACGTTATGTTTTCAAAATGTATGAAATACTTTATCCATGGCTTGCAGTTCAGATTGTAAACTGTTCAGAGAGAGAGAGAGAGAGAGCGAGAGAACTTTTGTCAAAACTTTGCTGGCACTGTGTCCAAAAAAAAAACTGAGAATGGTTTCTTGAAGTAAATCAGAAAAGCTATAGCCAACAAATGCCTCAAGCACAACGGTATTCTGCTTTGTTTTCAGATGTGTGTGTCAAATTCAGTGCTTATTACTTCTGGATGGAGGGAAACTCTGACCAAAGTCAACACACTGTTTCCCCTTCAGTGTTGTCTACAGAAGAGAATGGAGAGAATTTAAATGAGCTTCCACTTTGTTGCAGAATAAGCTACAATTCCTGCCAGGCTTTATGCCAGCGGTCAAAAGTCTGGCTTGCGAGATTATACCTGAAGTGTAGAGCAGATTTGCATGATTTACTTATTTGGATGGCAGGAGGGAGAAAGCAAACATGTTTTTCAGGACATCCATCCCTTCCTTTCTAAGTACACTTGCAGCCAGACTAATTATCAGTGTACTTCAAGCGTGTTAATGATTAATTAACTTGAAGTGTGCTATTTTGAAACAACAAATTTTGTACTAAGTATATTTTAGTAAATTGTTGTAAAGCAAAACTTTAAGTGTATTTTGTGTACTTATGATGTGGACCCACTAGTATACTTAGCATTTAGCCTGTGTAGGGACTAATTACACGCTTGATTAGTGATATTAAAGTGTACTTTATTTGTGTTACAAGTATATTACAAAATCATTACGGGTGTCTTCAAAACATATTCATATTTATGGATGGATAGATGGAACATCGACGTGTCCACTGGATCTCCGCCAGTCCTACAAATGGAGTAAAATTTCTCATACTGTAATTTTTAGTAACTTTTTTTTACACAAAAGTACTCAAGTATTATGTTAAAATCCAAAATGCATAAAACATTGTATTAAATTATACTATTCTAATCATAGACGTAGTAAATAAAAGAAAAACCTGTTGGCTCTCATAGTCACACTCAAATGTTTTACTTCAGCGTCAGTCCAAGAGCAATTGATATAAATAAAGGGAATGCATTGTTCCTCGTCCCATTATTAACGTCTGCTGAGAGGAAAGGCTGTGCTGCTGTCAGGTAACACTGATGTAGATGTGAGAATGCTGTGCTGCACTATATGACATGAGGCTGAAAGATTGCAGCCTTTCTCCACAAACAGCTGGAGCGACTTCAAGGACTGGCCCAACTCCACATGGGTGTGGACAGAGTCATTACAGCTGTTATCATCAGCCTGGGGCTGTTTATGTGTGTGTGCGTGAGTGTGTGTGCATGTGCACTATTGGAGACAGCTCAAATGATAGCAACTCTGTAAAATGGTTTGTGTTATATGTCACTAAACGAGTAAAGAAAAGGTTGTAAAGTTTATACGAGCACTTTCAGGCTCCAGAACACTATTAAAGACTGCTGTAAATGGTGGTCTTATAAAGGTATTCAGCTGGCCCTTTCTAAAGGAAAGCACACATTGCTTTTACATCGACCAATTGATTTGTCTCGCAGAGCCAGACTTTTGACTATTGGCAAAAAAAAAAAAAAAAAGTCTGGCCTAGATTAGTCTGCCAAGAACTGACCCATAACACAAGAAAAGGCCGACATGTGCCACAGTTCCAACGGTTCGTCTGTTCACAATGAAAAAGTTCTGTATTTTAACAGACATAAATATGAAAACAAAACTGAATGATACCTTGTTCATACTAGAGGCCTCGATTAAAAAACAGATAGTGTACGCTAAAATCCATGACAACGTTCATATTTATAAAAACGGTCTTTGAGAGTCGGGGAACTGTAGGTATATGCAAGTCTTGTCACTCGCCATTATCAAGTAAAGGATTTGGACGTTGACTGCTTATAAAATGTAATTTATCCCTGTGATTAAAGCTGAATTTTCAGCATAATTACTCCAGTCTTCAGAGTCACATGATCCTTCAGAAATCATTCTATGATAATTTGATGCTTTAGAAACATAAAAAATATGTTTTTTTAACTAAAATCCCATGTGATATTCATATATATATATATATATATATATATATATCCTTCCATCTAACCATCCATCCCACCCTTCCTCCCTCCATCAATTTGGTTCATTTATATCACCAGCAATTATTGTGAATATATTTTTTGAAAGTTCTTGTTGCTTAGCGCCTTTACAATATATTTTGAACAAAATGAAGTAGAGTGATATTTTAAAACCCGTGTGTAGCGGGTATTGAGAAGAGAATATTATCTTGATTGGTTATTTCATTGGTTCATGTAGTTTGTTATGGTGCAGCACCGAAAGACTCCAGCAGGGGGTGGGGCGAGCATAGAGAGTTATTATCAGACGCACGTTCCCTTCCCCTTACTCATAATACAGAGATTCGAGGGAAACGGAACAAGTGTCTGTCTTGATAATATTTCTACGTTCCCCTCTTCAGGTAAGCCCTTTAAATATCAGAATATTTAATGTTAAATCTTAATATCTTATGTTAATATTAGTTTGTGAATATAGAATGTTCGATAATTGTTTTATACCCGTATTGTGGAAAAAGAGATGAGATTGTCGCACATGGCGAACGTGAATATTTTCCGATGCTACCATTAGCACGTCTCAATGCACTGTTTTGTTAGTACATACAGTTTTATGGGTTTCTAACAATTCGTACAATGAAATGACAGTGTTATTATGCTGCTAATATGAGTTTGGCTGTAATATTATCATCTAACACTGTTTTATGTTTATTTGAGTTTCTATCACATACGAGTGAGTGTTAATGGGTCACGTGCTGATCCGTCCATGTTCAAATGTGAAGGCCTGCAGAATCACATAAAATGGATGACATGTAAAGTGGTATTATATTGCGACTAAAACGTTTTGAGATTAATATGCGCTATATATATATATATATATATATATATATATATATATAGAGTAAAGATTATAATATACAGTATTACATTCATTCTGATATATTGGATCAATTTCAATTTCTTTATGTAATATTTTATTCATTTTCTTTATTTAATATTTTATTTTGTCACGCATACAGATGCAAGCTATCTTGTTTATTGTGTGCAACAGTGTGGTCATAGTGTTTTGCCAATTGATGCTAATATGCTTTATGTGTTCTGACTTTGTGTCACTTGAGAATGCAATATTGTTATATGCAAGTTATGTAATTTCTACTCGTAATACCAACATGACATCATGACTTTTGCGTAAATATATACGCCACTTTCGAGTCAGGTGGCGTGTTATCTCCACGCATTTTGAGCTATCCGCGTGTATCCGCGTGTATGCGTATATGTCTACGCCATTAACGTCCGCGTCATTCCGCGTGTCCGTACACGCAGGCAGATCTCCAATCATAAATGCCATTAACCCCAGTGACGGTTAAGTTTAGGGATGGGGTTGAGGTAAGTCATATCTTTTTTTTTTCCTAGGATGGTAAGGGAACAGTCATAAATGCCATTAACCCCAGTGACGGTTAGGTTTAGGGACGGGGTTGAGGTAAGTCATATATTTATATAACGTTAAGTCAACGGCGTTCATAAACATGCTGAAAGGCGATTATGCGTCTTGATAGCACGCCAAAAATGGAAATACGAATTGGCGTGTCATTTTTTACGAATACGAATTGGCGTGTTATTTTTTATAAATCTATATTTATATAACGTTAAGTCAACGGCGTTCATAAACATGCTGAAAGGCGATTATGCGTCTTGATAGCACGCCAAAAATGGAAATACGAATTGGCGTGTCATACACACACTACTTCATGAGATCAGTCTGCCTGATAATTAAGGATGGGTACCGAAACCCGGTATTAAACGGGCCCCGGTACTGAATTTTAAAAGACCGCTGTATCGATAAGCTCGGACGTTATCGGTTCTGCTGTCGGTACTGGAGAAATTAAGTAAATACACATAAGTTGGGCTACTATTTATTATTCCTATAAAGACGTTATCTTGAACATGTTTATATCGCCAGCCATTTCTATAAACTATATTTTAATTAAACCATTTGTCTGTGATGCAAATTTGCAATTCGCAGTTCAGAAGAGAGAGAGCTCTCACGCAAAACACGCGCAACACGACAGCCCTAATGAGTGACAATGAGGACAGAACTAAACATTCAGCGTGGTTACACATTAGATCTGGGATATTATTCTCATATATTTTGTATTTCGGCTTCCAAAGATTATAAGAAGAAGATATTTCAGATAAAACCGTTAAAAAACGAGACGATCTGTCCAGCTTAACTTCCTTTACTTCCCAGCACTGCGGAGCGCTGTCAGTTCTTCCTAAAACCCAAACGTAACCGTCAGAATCAGCACGATCGGTGATTGTTGCAAAATGCTGTCTTCTATTGTTGCAAGATCAAGAAAATGGCTATTAAAAACACAAAAACCTGCGCAAGAGACGCTGTTCACAAGGCGGTGCGCGCTCCGAAACGGACTGCAACGAGACAAGAAAAGTAGCCTATGCTTGGGCTTCGTGCGTCCTTAACTATCAAATATACATAAAAATGTCAAAATGACCAGCTCTGAGATTCACTTAAACACAGTTTATTCACTTAAACACAATTATGTCTTAAATGGACGTAAATAATAGGGAGAAAATGATGGTGCATCAGTCCCCATTAGATCTGCAATCGGTCTTATAGGGGGCAGCAGTCTAATAGCCTAAACCTGCTGACGATTCAGCCATTAATGCAAATCAAACAACAAAAGGCAGAGAAGATCACTCACAGCTTTTGAATGAGTAACTTTAGATTTAATTCTATCTATGATAAACTATACAGTGCTATTTTATATTTGATTACTAGGTTTCTTTTCAGACAGAAACAATTACCTGAAAAGATATGTTAGTAGACCTTCCTGAAATTAAAGCACTTTGTATATAATTTGTATCTTTGATTAAGTGTATTCTTGTGTTTGTACTTACGTATTGTATAAACAAAAAAAGCCTGCACATTGCTGCATAACAAAAAGATATTTTTCTTCGTTTTGCTTTTTCTATTTTACGTTTCAAAATATAAAGTTTAATTATGTTCTTAATTCTTAAAAAAAAAAATAAAAATAAAAAAAATACTAAAAAACACCAAAAAGAACCGATAAGAATACCGTTAAAGTACTGAATCGATAAGCGGTATCGGTAAGAGTAGTAATACCGATAAAACCTTAACGATACCCATCCCTACTGATAATATTTCTATGTTCCCCTCTTCAGGGAGACTACACGTGCACCCTGACTCAGAGAAATCGATCAGATTAGCGCTTGCAATTTTGGAAGCTTTTGCCATTTTTTCATCCATCCGTCCAGCGTGACAAACAAATGCAGTGGGACAATGCTGCCACTTAAAAGTGTGGCTTGTAATTATACAGTTCTGTGGTTCACCAGGAAGGCAGAGGGATCATTTGGAATGCCAGGCTTGTTTTTCACAGGTGTGTAATGGGAGCACCCGGTGGGGGGACTAGGCCTGCCCGGACACGGCCGTGCTCACCTGCATACTTCCCGAAAAAAAAAAAAGATTACCTGAGAATTCCTCCAAGCCACAGCTATGAGAGGGATATGAGAACGGTTAGCTAAACAAAAGCTCTGTTTATACAGTGACAGGCAGTGATCCAGTGCAGATCAGCTGGGGAAAAGCAAACTGCAGATAAACAAAGGGGCGTTGAAAGAGAGGGAGAGCTGTCAATCCTGGGGAGAAGA